GGCCTTAGAATGTCAGGGCAGGAGCAGGGTCCTATCCATCACCAGGAAAGCTTTGGGAAGCAGAAATGCTGAGTCATGGACTAGAATGTCATGGACTGTTGCCTTTTTCAGGGGAAGAATCGCTGGAGAGACTTCAGTCCCTACTTTTCTAACGAGATTATTGAGAAATAGCGATGGAGAGGGGCTGGGGATGGTGAGAGGCGGAGGGATCCTTATAAACCAGGCCTTAGAGGGGAGGGAAAGCAAGAGCGACTAGAGGATGGAGAAGAGATCAGTTGCCTGGCTATGCAGAAGATTTCTTATCTGGGGCAAAAGTGAATTATTTTAACAAAAGTAACTAAAACATTAACATGAACAAGATGTAATTTAGACATGGTTCATGTTATGAAAAAATATGCGAGATCAGGGAAGATCATGGAGGGATTAGAATGGAAGAGAGATATTGCAGTTTTCTTGTGAGGGCCTTCCGATATGGACGTAGAAAGCAGAAGGATAATGCTTCCTTTTCTTTTTCCCTTCTCCCTGTCTTTCCCTCTCCTTTTCCTCCCCCTCCTCCTCCCCCTCCTCCTCCCCCTCCTCCTCCCCCTCCTCCTCCCCCTCCTCCTCCCCCTCCTCCTCCCCCTCCTCCTCCCCCTCCTCCCCCCCTCCTCCCCCTCCTCCCCCTCCTCCTCCCCCTCCTCCCCCTTCTCCTCCTCCTCCCCCTCCTCCCTCTCCTCCTCCTCCTCCCCCTCCTCCTCCTCCTCCTCCTCCTCCCTTTTTTCAGTCTCATCACTGAGTGGGAATCCGAGCTGAGGACAGTGGGCTGTCCTCCATCACTGGTCCCAGTGATCCCAGCAGTGCCAGCTAGGGAATGCACCTGCCCTGTGTGGGTGAGCCAGGCCGAGGCTGGGAGGGTGGGACCAGAGTAGCTCTCCTCTGGTTTGCAGTCTCCCCCTCCCCCACAGTCAGACATCTGGATTAAGCGCTGCCTCTGTTAGAAATACAATAATAAAAAGGAGCCATTGGAATTTTGAATTTCATATGGATTAGAAATTAGAAGTTTGGATTTTATTCAAATGCAACCCCCAAGTGCTCCACTGTCCTCAGCCCTTTGTTGCTTTTTCTCCAGCACGCTGCTGTTTTTTTCATAAGATCTTATAATTCATAAATATTTTTTTTTTCTTGTGTCATCTTGCCTACAGAATTGTATGATTCATACATTCAGGGATTTTTCTGTTTCTATCTTGTTCATCTTTGTTTCCTACTGGTAAACTCAATGAATAGCATATGGTAGACTTTCTCCTCAGCATTTTTTAAATAAAAAATTTCAAACATGCAGTAAAGTTAAGAGAACTTTATAATTAATTCCTTAATACCTACCAACTAGCTTCTACTGTACTTCATCACTTATCTATTCATCTCTCTATTTCTCTGCCTATTAATACATGGTGGACTTGAATACATTCTTGAATGCAAATGAATGTTATTCTTCTGGTCAATAGCCAGAAACTGTCCATTCTGAGGTTGGCCCAGTGCAGTGGTCGGCACACTCATTAGTCAACAGAGCCACGTATCAACAGTACAACAATTGAAATTTATTTTGAGAGCCAAAATTTTTAAATCTAAACTACTTCTAACACCACTTCTTCAAAATAAACTTGCCCAGACCGTGGCATTTTGTGGAAAAGCCACACTCAAGGGGCCAAAGAGCCGCATGTGGCTCTCTAACTGCAGTTTGCCGACCACGGGCCCAGTGCAAAGTGAGCTTCCTTGTTTCTGTGTGGAACTGTTATGTTTCCTAGGATGTGTATCTGTAAGCTCTGTATCAGACCCTGCGGTAGATAGTGGGGATTCAGAGATAAGGTCAAATTTCCTGCCTTCTAGGGGTACGTGCTCTGCTTGTGAGAGGAAGAAAAAAGTTAGTGATGAAAGAAGAAAGTAGCCGAGGCCGGTTTGGCTCAGTGGATAGAGCGTCGGCTTGGGGACTGGGGGGTCGCGGGTTCGATTCCGATCGGGGGCATGTACCTTGGTTGCGGGCATATCCCCGGTGGGGGGTGTGCAAGAGGCAGCTGATCGATGACTCTCTCTCATCGATGTTTCTAACTCTCTATCCCTCTCTTCCTCTCTGTACAAAATCAATAAAATATATATTTAAAAAAGAAAGAAAGAAGAAAATAGTAGAAAATGTGGACTAATGATATTTTTTTCATGTATAACTTTTAATTAAAGACTTTTAATTAACATCAGTGTTCTCTTGATGTTAAAGCTGCCTTATTTCTTGACATTTTGTGTTTTGTTGCACAAATAGATAAAAACAACTATAGACTTGGCCAATACCAATGAAGAAATATTTTGCGATTCCTAGTTAGTGAATGACAAATGCAAGCCCATTTCAACTATGAAACTTTGGCTTTTTTTTTTTTTTTTTTTTTTTTAAGTGTTGTATAACCATTGAAACATACAAATAACAGAAGCCAAGGAAAAGCACCTAAAAAGTGTTTCTAATCCAGCTAACTATGGTCAAGGACAAGAGCATTTCTTCCCCGACTAGAAAATGATAGAGCAGGCAGGGCAGGCACAGCCTTCTGTAGATTGTCCGTCCCTCCCCCCCCCCCCCCCACACACACCTCCAATCATATTTGATTATATTTTTGTACCCTGTCTTTGTTATTTTGATTGACCAGAGGAAATGCTTACCTTTAAAGTGACATCCTGGGGCTGTCGGTTTGCAATACCCTTTATCAAGCTTGCTGTGTCTGTTTCTATTTATTTTAATTCTTCTTTTTAGAAAGGAGGATTTTAAGGTCAGTGCAGTACCTTTGTGATTGCATTCCAAGAGTACTTAGCAGGGGTCCACGTACCTAAGGGTGTTGAATCATTGCGAACTGGGAATGCATCCAAGTTCATGCTTTAACTGAGAACCCTCTGTTAAATATTTAAAAGGGAAAGCCATCTTTCAAAAGAGGCATATGGGCCTGGACAGCATAGAGATGGTGAGCACAGGACACGAGGAAGCAGCAAAGGCGGGCTGGGACCTGGGCTTGTTGTGTCTCTGACCTCAGCTGTCTCCTTTTATTTGACGGGGCTCTGCTTTCTCACACCTGGTGACTCCCATTCCATCGGCTTTCATTTGCTCATGTTGTCCTTCCATGGGCTTTTGTGTGGTCTTACCTGGACCTGCTTTCTTGCTTTGCCTCTAGTAGCTAAAGACCTTGAACAAGAAATGTATCTTTTCCGAGTTCTAGGTTCCTTCCCTGTAACTGGGAGACCTTAACACCTACCTCAACAAGTAAAACATGTCCATCCTGGAGAAGACCCTTGATAAATGTTAGCTTTACCCTAATGTTTTACGATCAGGTGCCACTATGGATTAGTAAGAAATGATAATTTGGGGGGGGGGGATAACGGATGTAAGCATCTAGATAGTGTAAATGAGGAAAAAAGCAAATCTGAAGTGGATATTTTATTTATAAAATTAAACCTAATTTTATTTTGCAAAAATCAACAAATACATGTCAGATGTGATTTATCTTCAAACCATGTGCTTGTGTGTGTTTTTAAAAACAAACATGCAAGTTAATTTGGCATGCCAAACATAGTTCTAGCTCTTTTTGGAAATTTTTTTTCTCCACGACACAAACAAGAATGCAAATATTGTCCCAAAACTATTTATACTTTTACCCTCCAGTATCACTAATATTGATATTTATTGAGAGGAAAGAAAAATTGCAATGCTTGATCATTGGCATTCACATCTGATTCAGTAGTATAATTAAAATGTGCAATTGTTTTTATTTTTTAAAAAATATATATATATCTTTATTGGTTTTAGAGAGGAATGGAGAGGGAAAGAGAGAGAGAGAATCATCAATGATGAGAGGCAAACAATCATTGATTGGCTGCCTCCTGCACACCCCCTACTGGGGATCATGCTTACAACCCGGGCATGTGCCCTTGACCAGAATCGAACCTGGGACCCTTCAGTCCTCTGGATGGTGCTCTATCCCCTGAGCCAAACCAGCTAGGGTAGCAATTGTTTTTAAAATGAACGCTTTGAAGGAAATTTAATAAATCTTGATTTTGCTCTGCAAAGGAGTATTTAAATGGAGCTGTCGAGTTCCTGCTGGCAGAATATTACTTCCAGCCTATTTATTAGCTTTTCTTCCTGTAGCCCAATATATGCTCCCCACTCCACTAAGTGAAAGCACAGAAAGAAAGCAATTTCTTCTCTCTCCCTCATTCCCCCGCCTCCAGCATCATGCAAGGCAACACAACACACAGTCACAATGTCTGAATTTACTCTGATTATATTTTGTTTCTTATACGTAAAAATTATTTTGTATTATAATACTTACTGGGTTATCTAAAATCAACCTTGTTGATTTTAAATTGTTATAAAAGCCGGACTTTTAGAAGTATTTGAAACGATTCAGGAACCACGTCTGAAAGCAGATAATTGCCTCCAGCCTATTCTTTTGCACTTGAAGTAAAAGGATTTTGGGTATCAGTAGTTGAGTAAAAAAAAAAAACAACACAATACTTTAGGGGGCCCATATAATTCATTCACACCTTTATATTGTAAACAAGGATCTGATACCTTTGACAGTAGCCTATGAACACATTTTAAAAAATATACCCTTTAGTATAGAATAGGTATCAAGGGAGCAAGTATTTTAAACACGATTCTGATAGGTCTCATGAGCCTACTTTCCAGAAAAAGTTTTATATGAAATTTCCTGATTAAAAAAACCACACACATTAAAGTCATAGATTTAAATTGAGAGAACATGGTACGTGAGGTAAGGTCATTGTATTTTCTTGGTCTGATACACAATGTAACATGTACAAAAGAACCTAAAGAGGCCTCGATCGCAAATTTCAGGCAGGACCTAAGAGAAGTGCATAGAGAAGTGGGAGCTTTTTAGATCAGAAAGTGAAAGAAGACACGGTAATCGCCTTAAAACAAGGAGTGGCAAGCAACGTACGCATGTGCACTGCGAATTCACAGAACGCGACCACGATCAATTCGAAAGTGTACTGTGGTAGCCACACATTTTGGAGAAAAACTCCCACGCCAGGCGGACGTGGATTGGGATGAAAACATAGGCAGTGTACACCACCATCGCGAAAATGGTGAGCAGGATGGTATTGAACATGGACTGCTCCCAGGGCTCCAGGACAGCACAGCAGCTGATGATTTGGTACTGGTAGTAGAGCCAGGAGAAATAGTCCTTCACGCGCCTGAAATCCATGGCTGGCTCCTTTAGCTGCAGAAAGCCCGTCCTGTGAGAGAAGGCGACCGATTAGAAGAGAACTACGACAGGGAGCCAGACACGGAATCTGCCGAGGTGGCCAGGATTTTAACGTGTTCGTGATCATGCCGTGGGTTCATATGAGTATGATATCGAGATAGTATACACAATGCACCACAGAAATTAATAACAGTGCCACCATAATCATCAACACGACACAGCAACAATGTTCTTAATGTAATTAATATTCGTCCAGAAATGATAATTCCTACTAATAACTCTAGCGGTAACAATCTACAAATTGAAGCTAACCACCCTTTCTTTAGTCATGTATGCAGAGAGAGATAAACACGAATTTTCTGTCCTCTAAGCATGCTCCGGCAGACGATGTAAAGAATTGTGTGCAGAAGCGTTAACACAGCGGCTCTGAGGCTGCTGCCTCTACAGGGCCTGGTGCAAGTCTGGCTTTCGGCTGGCACCTGGGACCCTGGGTCTTGGAATGCCCTCTCCCGTTCTCTGATGGATAAAGTTGATTCACAATGCCCAGATTATGCAAACTCTGTAGTTAATGGTGAACACCTGCTTTATTCTGGGAGCCTGACATTTGGCTTGTTGCCATGCTGAGGATGGCCACACAGCGAGTTCCAATAAAAACCTTGGTGTGGAGTCTCTCATGGACTGCCCTGGGCAGAAACATTGCACATGTAATGCTTTTTGCTGGTAGAGAGGGGAGCATACTCCGTGTCTGCTCATGGAGAGCAGAGGCAGCCTGTGAGTGGATTTCTTCAGACTTCACCAGTGTCTCTTTCCTTGCTGATCCTGTTGCATAGCCTTTCACTGTGTAAACCATAGCTGTGGACACAATGTATGTTGAGTCCTGTTAGTCATTCTAGCAAGTCCCTGAGCCCGTGGATGGTCTTGGGGATCTCTGAAATAAATGGGAAGCACAAAGTGTACCCTTGAGTAGTCATTTGTTGTGGTGGTTTTTGTGTTTTTTCTCCCTCCCTCTCAAATAGGACAGCTATAATCACATGTAAATCTTCTAGAAAGAAAACGATCGTTGGGAAGGATTTGCAGACTTTAGTAGATAGTGCAGTGTCTGTGGGAACAAGCTGATCTGTTTTGAGCCCGTTTTGCTTCCTCCTGAGATTAATGGTGACACCTCATCTGAGTCCTTTTTGACAGCATTTACCATTCAAATGACAGTTAACTGTCTTTGAAGATCATTTCTTTCTTTCTTTTTAAAAAAATATATTTTATTGATTTTTTACAGAGAGGAAGAGAGGGGGATAGAGAGCTAGAAACGTCGATGAGAGAGAAACATCGACCAGCTGCCTCTTGCACACTCCCTACTGGGGATGTGCCCACAACCCAGGTACATGCCCTTGACCAGAATCAAACCCGGGACCATTCAGTCCCAGGCCAATGCTCTATCCACTGAGCCAAACCAGTTTTGGCTAAAATGGCAAATCTTTGTGTTGCCAGGTCGTAAATCTCGGTAATAATGATCAAGGTAATTCAAATGAGCAGCTAAAACAACTGAAATTGTTTTACTTTCCTATGAAAAGAAAAGTCAGCCTGCCATCTTTCCTCAAAGCCAGAGTGGGAACTAAGTAGACGTAAAGGCCTTGTCCTGGTAGGTGGACCTCAAGGAGAAGTTACTGCCAATGAATTTTTGTTTTTAATTCCTAGCTCTTGTTGCAGAGGAAGAGCAATGACCCATGCTGTTAGGTCTGGAAGGAAATGAGCGACAGAAGGAGTGATCATTTCAGTGAGCGAAATTATATAAGCAACAGGGATTTTCCACAGAAAATTATAGGTTATCACTGAGCTTTTAGGCTGTCTCACTAGACAACTGTATATGTCAAACTCAACCTAATTTCTAAAAAATCTTATTCATGGCGACCCATACTTGCTTCCTCTTCATTATCTAGAGAGTCTGGGGTGGTGCCAGTACATGAGAGTACATTCTTCAGGAGTCAAGTTCCAGGCTGTGCTGGCTGAAGGTGGGAGAATGTACTTTGCCAGGGAGGGACCCTCTGCTTAGGGAATGTGGTCCAGTTGGGGAGGCAGTTGTATATATTAAGTAATATATACAAATCTATGATTATCAATTACATTATTGAAAAGAGCAGAGCAGTAAGGCTATGGGAAACCTGATCCAGTGTGAGCTTATCTCTGAGGAAGAGATGCTTGCGATAAGATCCAAGGGATGACTGTATCTATGGAACAATTGGTAGTCAGGTGGGGAGAATGGCCAAGATATAGGGCTCAGTTCGTGCTTATGCAAAGGTTAGAGGTGGGAAGGAACTTGATAGGTGGTCCAGGGGGGGGGGCAGGTAATGGAACACAGAGATCTAGTGAGGGATGCCAGGAGTATGAGGAAAAGGAAGAGGAGGGAATGGTGAGAGTGAGGCCAAACACTATAGGGTTAGTGCAGTGGCCGGCATCTGTGGCTTGTGAGCCACATGAGGCTCTTTGGCCCCTTAAGTGTGGCTCTTCTACAAAATACCGTGGCCTGGGTGAGTCTATTTTGAAGATGTGGCGTTAGAAGAAGTTTAAGTTTAAAAAATGTGGCTCTCAAAAGACATTTCAATCGTTGTCCTGTGGATATTTGGCTCTATTGACTAATGAGTTTGCTGACCACTGTACTTGTTCAAAAGATCTTTCAATATTGTCCTGTTGATATTTGGCTCTGTTGACTAATGAGTTTGCTGACCAATGTACTTGCTTTTAATCCAGGAAGTGAGGTTTTTAACGGGAATGCTGTTAAAAGAGGGTAAGGACATGCTGCCTTCCCTGTACTCTAAAGCCACCTTGAAATGATTTTGAATAACAATCATCTCAGGAAAATCAATGCCTCTGCTCTCTTATGGGTGTTATTTATTTAGAATCAACCTTGTACTGAAAATCCATTTAAAATAGACCTAATGATAGTTTCAATTTCATAAATAAGATAAATCACTCATTTAGACATACTATTTACTTTTTCTACAGTTTAGCTTTTAAAAATGCGCAAATTAATTGGCTGGCCATTGCTTTCCCCTTTAAAAATAAATTTCTTGCTTGAACATCCCTGATGGACACCTTGCCTGCAGGCCTGTGAGAGACCCCCAGATAGAGGCCCTCAGTTAAGTCGTTCCCAGGAAGCCTGAGCACTAGGAACATTCATTACACCGAAGGCCTTGTAAGACCCTGGTCACATCCTGCTAGCAATTTAAAGAATTGAGATTAAAAAAAATGTTTTTTCTTGCCAGTTTCTACAGTTCCCTATATTGTTTTCCAACCTTTTTTAGTAGCCAGCTCTAACATATAAAATGCTTTATATGGTCACATCTCATTTCACTCTCATTAAATCTAGTCAGAAAAGAAAAGCATTGATTTTTCCCCTTTCTCTGATTCTTTTCCCTCTTGTTGATGATAAGCAATTTTAAAGATTGTGTATTTATTGTTTCTTATTATGAAAAGGTGAGAGAGTTGGTTATTATTGGTAAACCATCTGCTACAACCTATTAGAATATACACTATATTTAGGTTCTACATTTATAAGTCAGCGATTTTCAACCTTTTTCCATCTCATGGTACACACATAAACTAGTTACTAAAATTCTGCGGCACAACAACAACAAATTTTTTTTTGCCAATTGGGAAAAAAAAAAGGAGTAATTTAGATTCATCCATACTGGGCAGTTATTGTTGTACGGGCTGTTGTCAGTTTTTCATTTGACAATCTAAGGGAAAGGAGGTCAGTGCCCCTGACTAAATATAGTCAGATATTGCATGTTTTTGTTTTGTTTGTAAATCCTCACTGGAGAATATTTTTTTCTATTAATTTTAGGGAGAGTGGAAAGGAGGGAGAAGAGGGAAAGAGAAAAGAGAAAAACATCGATGCAAGAGAGTCATAGACTTTCAAAGACTCAACGTTGAGCAAGGACAGTGGAATCAGGTGTGTAGAATATCTGAAAGGCCTCAGCCCCAGCCTCTCTGTTTCCCCAGACACTACTCTTCTCTTACCCATGACTTTCCTGCAACCACAGAGTTCAGATTCTCCTCCAACCTGAAGGAACATCTGGAGGCTTGTTTATTGCAGATATTACTGGGAAATGGCAAAGCTAAGGTTCCTGTCAGTAATGTTCATCTTCGCATGGATAAGAGACCCAAAGCAGAGTTTTGCCAGATGGAGGGGAAGGAGAGGGAGGAGGACTATGAGTTTGGGGAGCCAGAGGGAGAGACTGAATCCTAAAGGGAACCGTGTGACTGGGCGGGAACACTAAGACAGTGGAAAACAGCAAGGACTGGAAGCCCACTAAGAAGTTAGTTCACACCTGATTGGTAAGAGTCTGTCTTTTATTGCTGAATGTCACTGCTCTTTCAGCAGCAAGCAATGACATTTTCCTTTCCCTAGATTTGGGTACAGTGGGGGAGGAGGTAAAATTTCCCCACCTTTCCCAGAATGAGAGGGAGAAGACCTGGACTTATGATCCACATTACTCAGGGGGAGGGCTTTGTTCTGGCCTGAATGGAGGAGAAAGTTAAAATAAATAGAGCAATAAAAACAACATGTGTTCACATGGGCCCACGTGTGAGTCACGAAACGAGAGCACTGTAGGGAGAACATGCGGGGAAGTAACAAAAGCAGAGTCTGGGCTTGCTCAGGACGTTTTTTGTTGTTGTTTTTGTCCATGGGAACAGGAGTGGTAGAAAGTTAGGCAACCTCAATGAAAGATGAGTAGCAGGTCTTTGGATAGGGTGGCATTTACCTGGGGAATATTTCAGATGACTTGATCCTACAGCTCTCTTCCACCTAAAGAAAATACTCCAAATTATTGGATTTTTTTTTTCCCCCGTAAGAGATTTACCTTTCTAAATACTAGCTATAAAGGAATGTTAAAAACAAAACAAAACCCCAACATATTGGGGGTTAAATTTACTCCCAAAAAGGTCAGAATCTGGAGTTGAAAAGTCAGAAAGACTTACAATTACCCTAGACAGTTTGGCTC